TAAATAAATTAAATAGTAAACTATATTTAAAGAATATTATTATATTTATATTATAATTAAATATATATTATACTTTATATATTATTTATATAAAAAGAATATATATATTATAAATTAATCTATAATTATTAATCTATCTGCTATATCTAATCTTTCTAATTAATAAATATAAATAATTATAATAATAGTTATATCTTAATCTAATTTTAATTATATAATTAAAAATTTTTTATATCTTAATCTGATTATCAGATTATGGCCAGATTAAGATTAAGATATAACAGTCAGGTTAAGCCACTCTAATAAAGATATATTTTAAAATAAAATAAGATATTTTTATAAAATTTTCTGCTTCTATCTTTTTAAATTAAAAGTTTAAAAACTAGTTTTATAAATTATTATCTTTATAAGAATTATAAGAAAAAATATTATTAATTATATTTAAATAAATAATTAATTAGATACTGAATAAAGATTTATTATAAATATTTATTTATTCTTCTAAGATAAATCTTTTCTAATTATTATCTTTTTTTTAGATTTTTATAATTTATAATAAACAGGATTTTTAGAATTAAATTCTATATTTTATAATTATTTATTATTTATTATTTTAAATTATTAAATATATTTAATTTAAATAAATAATTAATCTTGCTGCTTTATCTTTCTGCCGAAAATTAAGTCTTTTTAATTAAATATAAATTAAAAAATATTTTATAAAATTATTTAAAGAGAAATATATACAGCTGCTATTAAAGTTTCTGAATATTAAATAAATATTAATTATAATAAACTACTAGATTAGCTCTAATCAGAAAATATTTCTTATTTTAATTAGATTTAATTAAATTAATTAGATTAATTAATTAGATAATTATATTTTAAATTTAATATTCTATTTTTTTTTATTTTTTTATACTAGATTCTATAAAAGTCTTTTTTAAAGTATAATATATTTTTTAAGATACTTAGTTAAGTAGATTAAGCAGTAGATTATATCTAAAGAATATTATTATATTTATATTATAATTAAATATATATTATACTTTATATATTATCTATATAAAAAAATATATATATATTATAAATTAATTTATAATTATTAATCTATCTGCTATATCTAATTTTTTTAATTAATAGATATAAATAGTTATAATAATAATTATATCTTAATCTAATTTTAATTATATAATTAAAAATTTTTTATATCTTAATCTAACTATTAGATTATGGCCAGATTAAGATTAAGATATAACAGTCAGGTTAAGCCACTCTAAAAATAACTGTAAGAATATAAAATAATTATAAGAGTATAAAATATTTATAAGAATATAAAACAGTTATAAGAGTATAAATAACTGCAAGAATTTTTAAATAAGTATTTATTTATAATAATAATAATAATTAAGAGAGAGAATCGCAGAGATTAAAAAAAGAAAAATTTAAAGAATAAAAAAATTTAAAAAAAAATTTTTTAAAAAAAGATATTCTTAGAGTGGCTTAACCTGACTATTATATATCATATTCTCTCTTAGAGTTCTGAGTTCTAAGTCTTAAGCTCTAATTTATATCTAAATTAAAAATATTATATTATATTTATTATTTAATTATAATTATAAAAATATTTGCTATATTTATTATTTATAATATTTATTATTTAATTATAACTATAAAAATTTAAAGTATCATAAATAATAATATAATTATAATTATATAAAACAGCCGCGGCAGGCTTATATAAAATACAAATATTATATAAAAAAAGGCTTTTTTTTAATTAATTTTCTTATAAAAAAGATTTTATAGCAGAAATTTTAATACTATCTAATTTTTTATAAATAATAATCTTAAGAATTAAGATTTTAAAAAAAAGAATAATTATAAAAATAATAATTCTTATAATTTTTATAATATATTATATTATAAGAAATATTTATACTATAGAAATAGTTTCTTATAAAATAATTATATTAATATAATATATAATCTATAAAATTTTTATAAATATATTTATTTATAAAAAAAGCTAGATAAAAGATTAATAATAATATTTGAAGTAATATAAATATTATCTTAATTTTATAATAGATATATTTTCTTTATACTATCTCAATACACACTCTTATATAAATTAAGATTAAATAAATAAAATAATTAATTTATAATTTTTAAAATGTAATTTTAAACTTTTTTCTTAACTTTATATACAGAGTATATTAAGAATTAAGATATTTTTTATATAGATATAAATTTATTTTTTTTAATCTTTATATTAATTTTAAGTAAAAATTAATTAAGTATATTAATATAGAAGTTTCTAATATATCTAAATTTCTTAATTTTAAAATTATAATTTAAATAAATTAAATCTAATTAATTTAAATTTTATATTACTGCTTAAATTATAATCTTAAAATCTTTATTTTTTATGTAAAATTAAATATAGACTTTATTCTATAATCTATTTTTTATTATATATATTAAGTCTAAAATATTATTAATTATAATAATTAATTTTAAGTTTAAGTAATTATTTATTTACTTATATAATTTTATATTAATTCTTCAGAATCAGAGTATAATTCTTATATTTTATAATTTATATAATAATAATATATTATTTAATTTATTAAAAGAATTTTTTTAAATTTATTAAATATTTATAAATAATCTTAATTTAATAATTAGCTATATATTAATAACTTAGATTATTAAAAAATTAGAATATAATAAATAACAGACTTAAAAATAATTTAAATTATTAATTAAGTTTACTAAGAAGTATGTTAGGGGAACCCATAAGCTATGAAGAACTGAGCCTGTATATATAAGAAAAAATAACTGATATTTTAAAGAGAATTCTTAAGAATCTGGTGATTTTATATATATATATAACTCAGCAGATTATTAGTTTAACAAAACAGACTAGCTGAGTTGAATAGCTCTGGAATATATCCCATAATAAAGTAGTTTATATTATTATATATCTCTATTAATAATCTTTTTTAAATAGTCAGAATATAATTAAAAAATATTATTAGATCTTAAAAATATATATTTTATTATTAAATAAATAATTTATATAAACTGTTTTAATTATTTTATAATTTTAATTAATTTATAGCTATTATAATAAAAATCTAGAATATAAATTTAATTAAATAGCTTCAGCTTATAATTTTACTTTAAATTTAAATTTAAAAAATATAAAGAATATCTGATTATAATAATATTAATAATTAAAAAAAAAGAGATAGATAGTTATATTAATTAAAAAATAAATACACAGCCTGATTTTAACGCGATTATGCAAATTTTCCCTAAGGGACAGTACTCTCTCACTTAGGTAAGCCAAAGCTTCAGACAATCCAACCAAAGACAATAAAACCAAAATTGGAAAGGGAAACGAACATCAGAGACCCGCCAGTCACGCGCCCATAAAAGTTCTTCTGATGCCGCGTCAACCGGAGATCAACCAGCCAGTCGGGACTCTGGAGGCCTACGAAATCTGCCAGCACGTTGATAGGTACTCTGTATCCGCTGGTGTTCTCTAATTAGAGACCTTCTGCAACAGTCATTTATATTTATAATTAATATATTATATTAGTATTAATTTCTTAGTAGCCTGCTAAGATCTAATCAGAATAAATCTTTATAATTAATTATTTATAAAATATATAAATAAAATATAAATACTAATATTTATTATTCAAAGAATTAGATCTAATATAATAATTACTAAATAATTAATAATTAACAACTATTAAGAATTATTATTTTAAAAAGAATTAAAGCTATTCAGATTATCTGTATATACTTAACAGTCTAAATAAATATAATAAATAAGTATAATAGATAAATATAATAGATAAATATAATAAATAAATATATATAAAGATTAGACAGAGATCTTAATAAAATAAATATAGAGCAGTAAATTAATTAAAATAAACTGTTTTAGAAAACTCTTTAGAACTTATATATATATATATATATATATATATATATATATAACTAGGGCGTGCTACCCGGAGTTATTAAATAGCAAGATTTTTATCTTATTAAGTAGATTAGTCAGTTATAAATATTTTTTAAATAACTTTATAGTTGATTACTAGGGGCGGGCCGCTATACCCGATTTTGAATTGAAATGTTAATGGTAAATGACCGTTGCAGAAGGTCTCTATTAGATAGATAGTACTTGCCGACCTTCGCGTCCGAAGTAAGGCAGACAGTAGATACTTACATAGATACTCCACGACAGCTGTTCTCCGCGGTAGAAACAATCTAAGTAACTCTGTACTCCGTACTCCGTACATTCTCTAGCTCAGCAGCAGCCCCGAAGGAATGACCTCCGCGGGAGTTTATACGCTCTATGTAGGGGTAGAACTATCTACTTTATAGTGTGATAATACTGCTAGTCTACTACGCATACAGAGTATTATTTGAGACAGACACGTACTGTATGTAGGTAGGCAAGGGCACAGAGCTAGGCAGAAGGTATACTTTAGCAGAGTAGTTCTCGCTACAGAGAGAGAGTGGGCCCTTGCCTGGGTTGGGAATGCCAGCAGACCATATTTAGGTACGGAGTAGGAGTATGGGGTCGAGCCTATCCACAACCAACCTTCTTATTGCCACGAACCCCCCCCTCTTTCCTACCTTCGTATAGCTTCATTATCAGCCCATAAGAGTCAATACGCATCTTTACATATTATACACCCGGGGTACCAAGATGCCGGAGGGTGTGATCTGACATCACCTGGAGGTACAAACTGTTATCACGCCACCCTGTGCTCTCTGGCGGGTTAGATTGGTATTCGGTACACCCGAAGCGAGAGCAGCGCTATTTGCTTGGTACACCAGTTATGTATAAGCTATCTATAGTCTACTCGCCGCACCACCGGGAGCGCAAGCGGAGTACATAATTTGCTTGATAAGGTAGTACGTAGGCCCAGAGTGAGGAACATAAAGAATTAGGATGCTTGGAATAAGCCAGTCACCAGGATATGGATGTGTTAGATAATTATAGAAGAAGACCACAGCTAAACATGCAACCACAGATTGATACATATTGTGCCTGCTTGGGGCCTTTACAGAAGTTTTGCACGCGGACAGGAGACTACCACCCACATCGTATCACTCTTGGAAAGAGAAAGCAACCCATAAGTTTTTACTATGTGTGCACATGTATAAGAGTATGACTGGGGTGATCATCATAGAAGCAATAGAAGGTAACACTATGCACTGCTTCCTGCAGTACACTATAAAAACTGGCAGAGTCACATTATTTCCGAGCTTCACTTGAAAAGCTTGGAGACAGCAATTTCCTTGTCATCGTGCTTGTTGAGGATCTTGGCAGTGGCCAGGTCAAAATCCTCTTGGGTAACGTGTACTCTTCGCTCCCGAAGAGCATACATGCCCGCCTCAGTGCACACTCCCTTGAGCTCAGCTCCAGAACACCCATTCATCTTCTCTGCAATCTTCGTTAGGTTGATGCCTCGTGTCAAATTCATTGATCGAGAGTGAATTCGCAAGATGTCGGCACGAGCTTCCACCCTAAGATAACGAGGAACATAATCAGTAATCCGCGCTAAAAGTCTTGGCCAAACATGGGTCAAGGCGTAAGGAAAAACACGGGTATTGACTCACGACGGTGGTGGGAATTCAATCTTCCGGTCAATCCGACCAGGGCGCAACAATGCCGGGTCTAGGATATCGAGCCGGTTGGTAGCCATGATAATTTTGATGTTTTTGGTGGGCTCAAATCCGTCCAACTGATTGAGGAGTTCCAGCATCGTTCGCTGCACCTCGGAATCACCTGAGCCCGCCGAGTCTATCCGACTAGATCCGATGCTGTCGATCTCATCCATGAATATGATGCTAGGAGCGTGCTCTCGAGCCATTACGAATAGCTCGCGGACCATGCGACTTCCTTCACCAATGTATTTCTGCACCAGTTCTGACCCGCTCACCCTGATAAACCGGCAGTCGGTATGATGGGCTACTGCTCGGGCAAGTAGTGTCTTGCCGGTTCCTGGCGGTCCGTAAAGAAGAACTCCTTTAGGCTGTGCGATACCAAGCGACTCGAACAACTCTGGGTGCTTTAGGCCAAGCTCGATAACTTCCTTGATCTCCTTTATCTGCTGGTCAAGCCCACCGATCATGTCATAGGTGCTGTCAGGCACCTTTTCTACCATCATTAGGGATACTAGCGGGTCAACAGACGAGGGCAGCATTTTTTCCAGCTTATATGAGTCGGACAGGAGGGCGACCCGCTTTCCCACAGTTAGTTTGCTGATATCAACTCCGTCGGCGATATCCACCACTGGAAGATGACAAGGCAGAAGTTAGTCTAGGAAGCACAGATGAAAATATAGACATCCGCGGAGACGACTCAATATTAACTTACCGTATTTGCCTTCGGGGTGCACTTTAACGAGGACTTTCTTGGTGCTCATGACTTTTACTACCTCCCCAACATAGGAACCGGGCTGCTGGAGCAGGCCCAGCTCCTCTCGAAGTAAGCGCACTCTCGAATTGTAGTCGTTGCGTTGCGCTTCCAGTCTTCGTAAGACTGCCTGGCCATGAATTATCTCAAGTTTCATGCCCTCGACCTTGTTGCGATAATAGTTGTCGAGCGCCATGATGCAATGACGCTCCTTGGTATGGCCACAACAAGGCGTCAATCACGGGAATAGGTTCTCAGAGAGCTAGCTATATGTCGTTGGCCCCAGGTCAGTGATTCTTGCGAGTTGTTTCTGAATTTGCTTCTGAATGGAGAACAAGAAATGTCGGTGGATGCAAAATATACAGATTCAAGACACAACACGATGATCAAGTGGTGACGGTGGCTAGTACGAGGGAGCTTGTTGCGGGTCTAACAAGGTAGTTAAGGTAGCTGATATCAGCAGCAACACCAGCCACTGAATCTTTCATCAGCCACATCTTGAAGACCAGGCTATATGAAATCATGTGATGTGATACAAGTACATGCCGTTTCTTTTTATCCAACAAAGATTGTATAAGTATGGAGTACATAACTGCTAGTACATCGGAATATAAAGTATTATTTTCTCATAGCAAGACCACCGGCCTAATAATCTGGAGATCGTGTTAAATTATATGAACAAGTAGTCTGCTTCTGTACCTCAGGTGCCTACGGTCCTCCCTACTTAGGTACCTAGGTAGGTACTGCCAGGGGCGGTGAGGAAAAGGAGGGTTGGTCTTGCCGTAGCGAGTGATTGCCCTCATACGGTCGTCAGTAGCCTAGATAACTCCACCTCCTGTATTCTCATCTTCTAGCTAGCATTAATATCATCAGTCTACTAGTGATTTTTATTTGCGAATAACTTCATTTAGTATTATTATCGTTTGATAAGCGCTGCCTACCTGCAGTAACCATAGTACTCGGAACATTCTTGCCGCCCTGATACTCTACAGTACTACTCCGTACCGTAGGTACCTACCTGTTCTCGAGGGGGTCCACAAATGGTATATCTACTGTAAATCTATTGTATCTCTATGGACTTTTTTAGAAAACAGATTTTAGGGCTTGTATATGTATTTAAAAACTTATACATAGTATATCATATTTTAAAAATACATATATATCTAATTATCTATATATAAAAATGAATATGTATTCAAATTTTCAAACATGCATTTGAGGGAAACAGTAGAGTGGTTAACGGCCAGGGTAGGTTAATGGTAACAGTTAAGAAATTTAGATAATAATTAAAATATTTTATAAGAATTAAAATAAATATATAATTTTTATTTAATTAATAAGTATAATCTAGATAATTATATAATTGATTCTTAAATTATATAATATATAGATATTACTATAAAATACTTAATAATTAAAATTTAAAAATTACTATATAAAATAAGTCTAGAATTAATTAATTATATATTAAATATAGACTAGCTGTATTAAATAATAATTAAAATATAATTTATACATAAATATTAGATTTTTTTTAACTTTAATTTTAGAACTGTATTTTATAATTTATTTAGATCTAAATAATAAATATACTTTTTAAAAGATTCACTGATTGGTTTTTACTTTTTAGTCTGTATTTTAACTGTTAATCACTCTACATATATTTTTTTAAATTATATTATAGAAATATTTTTTTAACTACATAATATATATATAATATAATTTGAAAAATACTTATTTTTATCAAAATACTATATATATACCAAACCACAAACCCCCCCTTGTCCGGTAAGGTACCAGAATAAAAAATACCTTACCTGATATCTCCCCTTGGTACTTCTAAGGTAGTACCTACCTAGGTACTAGCTAGTATGTTACCTACAGTATCTACGGAGTAACTACTAGTAGTGCCTACCTAGGTGGTACCCTACGAGTCCCTGTTCATGAAACAGCACAATGGTGTAAAATCTGTAGATATATATGTCCAGACAAGTTTCAAGCCATCATATTGTTTGAGTCAAGGACTTGCGACCTTCCGCGGAGGTACTAGAATTCCGCACCATCTTTCTCCTCAAACCTGTGACCTGCATTGTCAAGGTCTCAGCTGACTGCGGGGATGCGAGACCTTATCTCATGATCTAGCTAGTTTGCGTGTTTCGCACCTGCTCTTCACCCTCTCATCTTATTCCACCCGAATCCCTCTTCTGGGCCTACATCGACATGTAACTTATGGATTTCTCAATGACTTAAAGGGATTTCTTTGCTTTGCTGTTCCAAGTGCAGGTCGCTATCTCACCGGCGCTTCTTTAATAATTCCCCTTGCAATACTTCCCAACCTCCCTGTTTTATCGTCACATTATAAACACCGGTCAACGGAGGTCAAGAGTTAAAAAGGGAGATAAAAAGAAGAAGAAGAAGAAGAAGAAGAAGAAGAAGAAGAAGAAGAAGAAGAAGAAGAAGAAGAAGAAACCCCTCCTAGCGAACTGAAGGGAGAGGGGAGACCCAATCGATGATGTCTAACAGCGATGAAGAGGGCCACGGTCCTTCGCATCCCTTCGAACACACAGTGTCGTCAACCATAAGCAACGAGGATTTATCGTCAGGACCTCCACGCCAACAAAGAAATCCAACACAATCCAGAAGGAACTACGGTATGGTTGTGTGCTAATAAGTCGGTATCTTTTGGCCAAGAAACTCATTTTTTCTACAGGTACTTTAGATTCTTCCGCAAGGATGGACCTTGATCCTCGTCCTGATGAAAGTCAGCCGGAAAGCTCAAGTCGTATGCATACTTCCCAGTCGACTTCCACGACACCTTTACAGTCCGACAAACCAAAGAAACCATCTGTGACGCGCCGCATGTCTTCTAAACGTCAGGTACCCCACAAAGGACAAGAATTCTCTACAGAGGATGATGTACAGGAGGTAGAGGAGGACATAGCCATGCAACAAGCCTCCAATACCCAGCCATCCCCTAGGATACGGCCTCTAAGGAAGCAGAGCTCTACTCTGAGACGAAGACTCAATGCTCGCATGAGCCCATTGACCCAACCTGACTCCGACAACGAAGGTGGAGAAGATGCCGGCTTGCCTGATCCTGGCGTGGAAGTAGAGCCTTCTTCTCAAATTTCCGAGAGCGAAAGCCGCAGCGGCGATGGTGACACTGGCGTGGATGAGGCGGAGACAAGTGATGCGGAGAGCTTCACGTTGAAGGATCGCCAACAAGCTATCAACGAGACGCATCCGTTTGGAATAAGACTCTGGAAACCCGCCTTGTACAAGAAGAGCCGCTCAGTGGAAAAAACCGCTGAAGGTGATATCCATTCATCACCCGGTGGACGCGTGGGCAACTTTTTATTCCTTACAAACCTTCTGTGGACGGTGTTCTTCGGGTGGTGGCTAGCACTAGCTGCTCTCACAGGCGCCGTCGCTTGCTTTGTATTTGCATATTCGGCCAGTGCGATAGAATATGGACGGGTATTTTCGGGGCTTTCTTGGTATCTGGTATACCCCTTCGGTTCCTTCGTTCGTCTAGATACGGACGAAAACTATGCCGAAGAAGACGAAGGTGAAGGTCGCAGCATCAGCGAGTACGAGCAATGGCAGAACGGCGATCTAGAACATGGGAGGCTCTTCTTTGGCCCGCGACGCAACCGCTCCCTTGTTGGGAGAAGAAGAAACAGTGTCGATTCGGCTAGTGAACAAGATAGCCTCTTGGGGCGGACGCAAAGGGGAAGTGACCGAGAAAACTCACTAAGCCATCCCAAACGGCGTTTGTTCGGTCGTGGCGAGTGGACTCTTGGTCGCGTTGTATTCTTCATCTTCTTCTACTTCCTTGTAGGACCTCTAATGCTTCTAGTGTCACTTCTGTGCTGGTTACTTGTCTTTTGGATCCCCATGGGACGCGTGACAATTATCTTGTTTGACCATCTTCGTCGCCATCCTTTAGCTTTGTCGTATCATTCCGACACTACCTATACCAGGCTCAGTCCTGGTTCCTCCTCTTCTATCCTATTGTGCACTTACCGCGCAGCAGGTCTGAGATATTGGAAGTACACTGTCGGCGGAACGAACATCTTCTTGATCAATCTCCTCGGTGTTGTATTATTTGTTATTTTTGATTACTTTCTCCTCAGCGAGACACTGGGAATTCAGGCTGCAATTACGCACCCAGGTCTCATCTTCACGCTTGCTCTTGTTTCCATCATCCCTTTGGCATATTTTATCGGACAGGCTGTTGCCTCAATTTCTGCTCAATCCTCGATGGGTATGGGTGCAGCAGTCAATGCCTTCTTCTCAACAATAGTTGAAGTCTACCTTTATTGTGTTGCATTGACCGAAGGCAAAGGGCAGCTTGTTGAGGGCAGCATTATTGGCAGCATTTTTGCAGGCATTCTGTTTCTGCCTGGGCTCTCCATGTGTTTTGGTGCCATCAAGCGCAAGACCCAGCGATTCAATGTCAAGTCTGCGGGCGTTACATCCACAATGCTGATGTTTGCGGTCATTGCTGCATTTGGCCCTACCCTTTTTTATCAGATATTCGGTAGCGTAAGTTCTGGTTCCCTCTCTACACCAAGTTGGCCGCTACTTACCGATGTCTAGCATGAACTAAACTGCCACTCATGCGTTCAAGCTGTGGATTCTGAAGACAGTGATTGTCGTCGCTGTTACTTCTCCCAAACACCGGCCGTCAACGACAGCTTTTTCCAAAAGGCAGTTCAACCTTACTCTTGGTTTGCTGCTCTGTTCTTGTTCTTGTCCTATGTAATTGGGTTATGGTTCACCCTGAGAACTCACGCTGCCCTCATCTGGGCTACGGAGACAGAGGAGAGAAAGGCAGCAGTTCTCGCAACCGAGCAGGCCTACGAGTCGAGACATGGCGACCTTCTTCATGTTACGGGGGGAAGTGCCGGGGGGTCTATCACCAAAGGATCTGTCCGTGATTCACAGTTATATAAACGTATCCTGGGGCAGTCACTGAGGCAAGTCGGTTTATCTGATAACCCTACTGATTACACTACGGCCCAGTCAGACTCTATCTCAACGAACGGCAAAAGCACAACGCCGTACCTCGTCCCTCCTCGAACGGATTGCGATGATAGAATCCCGAGGCTGAAGAGCTTTGGTGGCTTGTCTAGTGAAGATAACGAGGTTTTGGTACGCCAGGTAACGGAAGTTGCAGCGACTGCCGCCGCTGTCGCGGCTCGTGATGCGGCTCGAATAAGGAAGCCCTCAGTCCAACAGGCTACTGCACGCCAAGCAAACAAAAGCCCTACTGATCAAATAAAGGCCGTACTTGAGGAGTGTGATGATATTGGGCTGGAGACTGGTCATGCTAGTGGTGGCCATGATGCGCCTAACTGGAGCAAAGCCAGGAGCTCCATAATTCTTCTTGGGGCTACTATTCTCTACGCAATCATTGCCGAGATTCTTGTGAATACGGTAGATGTAGTTCTGGAAAGTGTTGACATTGACGAAAAGTTCCTTGGGATCACACTTTTTGCCTTGGTTCCCAACACCACAGAATTCTTGGTATGTGCACTTGAATATTCCAATAAGTTGAGCGTGTTTTGCTTACCTCTTTTACTGGCAGAACGCTATTTCATTTGCAATGAATGGCAACATTGCGCTTTCCATGGAGATTGGTTCAGCCTACGCTCTTCAAGTCTGTCTCTTACAGATTCCGGCTCTGGTCCTGTTTAGTGCGATCTATACTCAAGTCATCGATGCATCTGATCTGCTAAGTCATACTTTCAAGTATATATGACCTTTTCCTTTTGCCAGTGACACCTACTAAAAAAATGTTTCTTCTTATAGCCTCATTTTCCCCCAGTGGGACATGGTATCAGTGATTTTGTGTGTATTTCTTCTATCCTATGTGCATGGGGAAGGGAAAAGCAACTATTTTAAAGGCTCTATACTCGTCCTCACTTACCTTGTGGTCGTGATTGGCTTTTACCTGTCAGGATACAGCAACTTAGAAACGATGGGTATCAATCGGTTTGATACGCTAGCCCTTGGCTCGAACCCAGGCGAGAGGTTTTACACTGTTGGTAGGTCCAGAAGTGGAAGAGCATTTTGATCCCCTCGCTATCCCCTCGCCGTCTCCCTTTTGGTCAAGATTAAACCCGTTTCACCCCACGCTGGAGAGAGAGACCACCTGCTTGGGCGAAGACAGCATATGATCCTGCGGTGCATGTGCATTGATGTACGGTGTACTTGGGGTTTATGAGATTGCAGCGATTAGCTTGACATCCTGTTTAGAGGTTATTATCTCAGTTGTATATCGACACGTTCCTTGGGTTGTATGATTCGAGCTGCCATGCTATCTCCAATATTCACCGTCTGTATGATTTTACCCTGCAGCACACTTCAAGAGCATCATGCCCGTGTTCTAAACGTGGTCCTTGTGTCTTTTTGGTGGCACTCAAATTGTCCCTGAAATATATATCTTTAGATACCCTCCATAGTTATCAAAAAAAAAAGAAAAAAAGAAAAGAAAAAAAAACACCGTGTATAGGGGTTGAAAAGCCACCAAAGACGTGCCTCCGAAGTGAGGGGGGGATAGGAGGAAATGCTTAGGAGTCCCATGGTCTCAATGTTTCGTCTACAAGAGCCCGATACTCTTGTTGCTTATAACATTGTTCCAAGAAGATTCTGTACTTGGTGTCAAGCAAAGCCTTTTCGACCTCATCCTTAGTCGGGGCAACTTTTTTTCCTGGCTTGCTCATGCGGTCCATGATATCCCAGAGATCCTCCGTCTTACCTTCTGCATTGGCACTAGCAGCCTTGGCACCCAGCATAGCTGCACCGTGGCAAACAGCTGCATGGATGTATCGAGGAATGAGCACAGGCATATTGCATGCAGATGCTATCAGTTCAACCAGAATGTCGTTTTGGCACTGCGAGCCCGACATGAAAATAGAGGTGATGCTATGGCCAGCATTATTCATTGTCTCAACAATGTGCCTCGTTTGCAGCGCAATAAATTCAAGGGTGGCATAATAATGGATTGCGAGACCATCCACAGACTTATCACTCGTTAGCCCCACAATAGAACCCGTCATTCTAGCATCCGCGATGGGTGAACGATTGCCCCAAAGATCACCATAAAAGAAAAGGTGACGGCCCAAGTAGAAGATGCTGGGAGCATTTTGTTCTTGAGCCAACTCCTTCAGATGTTCATTAAGGAACTCGTATATATTGGCATTGTGCGACTCAGCGATAGAGACTGCCTGGTTAAACGCTGGATGAGTCTCAATGACATGCTTGAGCAGCTCTCCCGTTGCAGACTGGCCGCCCTCGGCCATCCAATAACCTGGTTGGATGGTATCGCGGTAAGGACCCCAAACACCAGGAACAAAAACGGGATTTGGAGACATGGCGAGGTGACAAGTTGATGTTCCAGCAACAGCAGCCAAGCGAGAAAAGGCTTGTGTCTTGTCATTCTTCGCGACACTAGATCTCAATTGCTCCGACTCTAACTCAACTTTGGCGCCGACTGTACCGATCCAGCCCGCATATGCATCAATGACGCCGCTGCCAATCGCAATTCCAGGAGGCAGCCCCAACTCCGAAGCAGATTTGTTGCACAAGGTACCGACCAGTTCACCAGCACTAAGATAATCGCCGTTCTGAGATACCGGTCAGTTGTCAGTAACAAAGAAACTTGTGCACTGTCATGTTATAGAAAATACAACTGGAAAAGAACAGAGATTTGAAACAAAAGGGCTCACCACCCCGTCAACGCCACCCATTCGCTTGAATTCTTCCTTCACTAGATCGCCCAGGCCAATTTCTGCCAGGAAGTCTTCCTGCCAACCTTTGACACTGCCATCTACACCGACGGGAACATAACCTTGCTTACAGACAACGCTGCAAAAGCTTCTTTTTTCATCGCCAGTGGCAATGTGAGTAAGAGCATCGGCCAGGTCGTAGAATTTGCATTGGTCAAAGAGCTCTTTGGGCATATGGTTTTTCAACCACAAAACCTTCGGGATCTCCATCTCAATCGACATCTTTTCTCCAACGTAGCGTAGAAGATTGTGGTTAGTAGCGTTGACCTTCTCAGTTTCTTCAACGGGTCGGTGATCGAGCCAGAGGATCACATTGCGATCTGAGTCAAATTTGGGTCCTGTTACAGAGACGGGCTCATCTGTCACATTAGAAAATACTGCTAATGAGCATGTTGCATCAAACCCCATGCCCCTCACAGTTCCTGGGTCAATGTTGTGCTGGCTGATAGCACGCTGAACGGCCACACAGATGCATCGCCAGATATCATTCGTAGATTGTTCCTAAGATGGTCAATATCAGGCCCGGGGTCAATTTCCTTTGCGAGAGGATGGGGCTTACTACTGATAGCACATACATAATATCCTTGCTGGGGTTGCCAAAGACCGATGTTCTCGGAGGCTAGGCCGACAATATCCCCTCTACTGTCAACAATACAGGCCCGAGCACTGCCCGTTCCAACGTCAATGCCGATGTAATGATCTACGTGGACTTGTAATCCGTCCCGAAAATCTCTAGAAGCCTGGCTAGAAGTCTGTTGGGGGGGGTGACGATAAGGCATGGAGCCCATAGACGCCATAACTGTGGAAAGCGAAGAAGCTGGGTGAGGGAAATTTAGATGAAAGATATCTTTGACGTAGGTCATGAGGTTGAAACAGGCTAAGCCCCTGCGCAAACAGGGCGAACTCAAAACTTACAGACAATAATGTTATGATTCTAGGCTTGCCGTGGCAGCTCGCCTGATTTATATAACACTTCTTTAACCGTCCCAAATCAATGGAATAAGAAGTCCACAAGGTGTTTTTGCAAGATAATGAGACGCAGTCGACGATATCTGGCAGCTATAGGAGAAGGTAAAGGATAAGGCAATGCAGAGAATACAGAGAATGGAAAGACAGGGTAGAAGAGGAGTAATGGCAGCAGAGGGGAGTCGGGCTTGAGCTTGCGGGAAAACCTGCCGGGGTCCGATGACGTTGGCAACCGCTGTTCAAGATAAGTAGTATGGAGTGGGGTCCCAGTTGCGGCGGGTTCAGAAAAAGTTGCGAAAGAATCAGAAAGTTGGATATCTTACAGATAAGATTTCTGATTCTTAATTAGATTTTTATATAGTTATATTATATATCTAAAAAATCTAACTTTTTAGTTCTTGCACAGCTATACTGTTTTTTTTTTGTTTTAAAACTTCTTATTCGCGAGATTTTTCTAAGATCTATATATATAGTTATATACAGATATAATTTTATATAGGTTTTTTTATAAAATTATCTAGATTTTTAAATAAAATCTTAAATAGAATTTTAAATAAAAACTAAAATAAAAATTTAAGCAGAGTTTTAAATATAATTCTTTTTAGAAATAAAATTTAAAATTAGACTTAAATCTGTAATATTAGTTATAAGATATATATATATATATATATACTTTATATATAAAATATTATTATTACTACTAGTAGTTTCAGTTCTATTTAAAAAATTATTATTAAAAAAAGATTATATTTAAGACTTTATTTAAGATTCTATCTAAGATTTTACTTAAAATATAAGATAATTCTATATAAAAATCTATATAAAATTATATCTGTATATAATTATATATATATATAATAGATATAAAAAGAATCTTATAAATAAAAAATTTTAAAAATAATAAAAAAAAGCAGTATAATTATATAAGAATTAAGAAATTTGATAATAAAGCTTTACAGAAATTAGAAAAATTATATAATAAAGTTTTATAAAAATTAAAAAAATTATATAATTAAGCTTAGTAAGAGTCAGACTTTTTATAAAAATTAAAAGATTCTATTATTATCTTCTAATTCTTATTAAGAATTATTCTGATTTCGGCCTGACTCTTCTCAGTCTTCTGTAATTTTTTCTGAACCTACCAGAGCTGTATATCTGTATAAAGTAGGATCCCAGTTGCAGCAGGCTCAGAAAAAGTTACAGAAGAATCAGAAAGTTAGATATTTTATGAATAAGATTCCTGATTGAGATTCTTAATTAGATTTTTATATAATATAATTAATTAAGAATTAGAATTTATAATTCTAATCTCTGTGTAGTTATATTATATATTTAAAAAATCTAATTTTTTAATTCTTATATAAATATAATTATATTGCTTTTTTTATTACTCTTAAAAATTCTTATTCATAAGATTCTTTTAAGACCTATTTATATATTTATTATATATAAGATTATTAATTATATTATTAATCTCAATCTTAATCTTAATAATCTTTTTACTAATAATTTTAATATTTAATACAGGACTTTTCAATCAGAGACTTAAAATATCTATTAAAAAGATAAGATAATTTAATAAGTAAGTAATATAATATAGTATATATTTATAATTCAGAAGCTGTTAATAGTAATTTAAAAAAGACCTTAGCTCTAGATTAGATAATATTATTAGATTTATAATCCAGATTTCTTTTATAAAAATTAGAATTTACAATCTCTAGACTATTTAAATATTTAAATAACTCTAGATATTAATAAAAAAATAATGGTTATATTTAAAATAATTTGATATTTTTATATTACAGGCTATTTATAGCTTCTATATATAGATAATATTATAGTTATTCTTATAAATAAATTAAAAGAATATAAAAAAATATTATTCTAATTATATTTATCCAGCAGACTTATAGATTTCAGAATCTAAATATTTAATTATTATAATAATAGTTATAATTAATCTGAGAGATTAATATTAATATTTAGTCTTAAAATTAATAATTTCAAACTTTATTCATATTTATTGATAGAGTGGCTAACAGCCAGGTCAGGTCAGATTAATTAGAATTTTTATATCTAACTGCCAGATTATAATCAGATTAAGAAAATTTTTATATCTAATTATAATATAACTAAAAATTAGATAATTAATTATTTTAATTATTTTTAATATTAAGATTTATTTATTATATTTTTTTAAGCTCTAGTATAATTAAGATATATTTAAATAAAATAATTATTAATCTAACTATCTTTATTATTGCTTAAAAATATATAAAAAAAAGTTTTTTAAATTAAAAAAATATAATTAAAAAAAAATTAGTATCTTTTTTATTATTATTTATTAAAAATAATAAGAAAATTCTAGTTATATTAATAAAATTCAGCTTTTTATAAAATTATTATTCTTATAATAAAAAATATATATAAAAATATATAATTATTATTCTATTTTAGTTATATATTTTAATTATATTATAAAATATTAGAAAAATTATATATTAATTATTAATTGTGATAGAATAACCCAGCTATCGGGATAAAGGTCATCGGGATGACGTACTAGTGGTTGTGAGAGTCGTGAGGTTATCGATAGTGGTTCTACACCTCTCCGGCATCTATAAGGTGCCGATCCCTCTGTAAGGAGCTACTGATCCTTCAAGGATTAGTTTATCTTGTGGATATAGATTATCTTTGTTATTATCAAATAAATATATAGTGTTTTATAATTAATTTCTTATCTAGTCAACAAACTTTCTATTCTGACAAGTAGATTCTATTATATTCTGATTCTTCTTTTTTCAACTATCTAAGAAAAATACTATTTATTAAAGATAGTAAAGAAATAAAAGCACTCAGTAATTAAATTAATCTAAAATTCTCGCCGAATATTATTCTTACTATTAAAGAGATTTAATAACTAGAAGATTATATTTATTAATTAGAACAAGCTATTAACTTATAATAAAAAATAGCTTATCTTTAAAGAAATAGCTTTTCAAGTAAAATCTTCTCAAGATATTATTAATTCTCTTCCAAGTTAGAAAAGAATAAAAAAAAGATTAAATTTAAAGATATCTCTTGCTTTACTCTGAATTTTAATCTTTAAAAATATTAAAAATAAATTACTGATTTAAAATATATATTCAGAGATATACTTAAGAAATATTTATTAAAAAAATATAAGATTCTTATTACTATCAGCTATATAAATCTAGTATATAGACAGAGATAGTATTATTTTATAAATAATAAAAGTCCGAAAGAGAGATAATTTCTCAAGAAATTATAATCTTGATTCAAAGATTAAATTTTTATACTAATTTAAAATACTATTACTCTTTAATCAGATATTATAACTTAATTTAAACAGGCTTACTAATAATACAGCCAGGATCTGCGAGAGTTCTATACTTATCTTAATATCTTAAAGTAATACTTTTCTTATTAAGTAGAAAAGAAAAAAGTTTTATTCTATTTTACTAAGCTACTATTAAATCTAAATTATTATATTTAAGAGTATATTCCCTATCTATCAGAGAAGCGGGATGAAATAATAATTATTATTATTCACTATTATAAATTATAAGAAAATAAAGAAAAACATAAGTAAAATAATAATTAATTTAGTAATTATAAGTCACACAAGCACTTTCAAGAAACTACTAGTAAAATTATTAAGAAAGATATCCCAAATCACAGAGAAAATCCTATCGGAAAGAATAATAATTAATTATAATATTTTATATATAAAAATATTCAATATCTTGCAAATTAATACTTTATCAAAAACAAAAAAATTTAATTTGCTAGAATCTACTAATTTTTATTAGATTTAAAGAGAAAAATAGAGAAGTTAGAATAGATTTTATAATTTCAACTTCTTTATCTATAATAAAGATTATATATTATTTTTATATTTCTATCTATATTTAAAATAGTCTTGAAATCTTTGCAGACCTGAATAGCTGCGCCGAAGTAGATATTATTAATTATTAGTTTATTAAAGTCTATAATCTTCAATATACCCGGATTACTGCGCTAAAAATTAAAGCTATTAATTAAATTATTATTTTTATTTATAATATATAAAAAGTCTCTATTACCGCTATTAATTCGCGAGAAGGCACCTGTACTTTTAAATAATATTATATAAAAATTAATTAGAATTTCTGACTAAAAGACAGCTCTGTACTACTTTTAATAATTATATTTTATAATTTATATATTATCTTATCAGCATAGAACCGCTAGTAATAATTTAGTATATTATTTATTTTATTATTTTTTATTACTTAATTTACTAAAATAACTTAAAACTTAGTAAGAGTATATATTATTATTAAACTTCTCAAAGATATCTGGCTATCAGAAGAAGAATCTTACAATTTATTATTAAATTCTAAGATAATTCTTATTAAACTTAAGCAGTTTTAAGATATATTCTCTATAGATTTCTTTTAATAGTTATTTTTTTATAGCCCTGCGGATTATACTATTAATATTAAATTTAATAAAATATCTTCTTACAGTCTAATATATCTCTTATTTAAAGCTGAACTTAAGATTCTATAAGAATATATCAAAGAGAATCTAAAACTAGATTAAATTTAATCTTCAAAGAGCCCTGCTGAAGTCTCTATTCTTTTTATATTTAAGAAAAATAATAGCTTATATTTTTATATAAACTATAAAGATCTTAATAAGATTTCTATTAAGAATTACTATTTTTTATCTCTTATTTCAGAGATTCTTAACAGAGTTTCAGAAAGTATCTACTTTTTAAAAATTAATATTAAGAATATATACTATTAAATCTGTATTAAGA